CCCTCCCTCCCTCCCTCCAGTGGCTTGGTCAAGGCTCACTGCAGCCCTACTACCTCTTGGCCTCAGGCGATACTTCTGCTTCCATCTCCTGAGTAGCTGGGGACTACAGGTGTGTGCCACTATGGCTAATTCCCCCCCAAGTTGTTTTCAGTGGCCTCACGGAAATATCATGGTTTGTGCTGAAACTTTAATCGGTGTATTCTTTTCATAAATGTAAGTAGTAACCAAATATAAATTTTAAATGTATAGGGAGAAACATGAAGAACATTGCTTATTCTTGAAAGTAACAGTGATTCATGTATTTTATTCAGATTTACCTATGCCTAATGAGAAAAATGATGCAGAACTTGATTCTCCGCCTGCAAAGAAAAAAAGACTGGGTTTTTTCCAGACCTATGATATGGAATATTTAAAACTTGGTTTTATTATTTGTCCTGGATCAAAAGAAAGTTCACCAAGGCCACAGTGTGTCATTTGTGGAGAGATCTTATCCAGTGAAAATATGAAGCCAGCAAATCTTTCTCATCATTTGAAGACAAAACATTCAGAATTAGAAAACAAACCAGTGGATTTTTTTGAACAAAAATCTCTAGAAATGGAATGTCAAAACAATTCTTTAAAAAAGTGTTTACTAGTTGAAAAGTCACTTGTGAAAGCTTCATATTTAATTGCTTTCCAAATTGCTGCCAGCAAGAAGCCATTCTCCATTGCTGAAGAATTAATTAAACCATATTTAGTAGAAATGTGTTCGGAAGTTTTGGGTTCAAGTGCAGGAGACAAAATGAAAACGATTCCGCTTTCTAATAATACAATTGGACACAGGATTGATGAACTCTCTGCAGACATTGAAGATCAGCTGATTCAAAAGGTCAGAGAGTCAAAGTGGTTTGCCCTTCAGATAGATGAGTCATCAGAAATCTCACATATGACACTTCTTTTGTGCTATATTCGTTTCATTGATTATGATTGTGGTGACATAAAAGAAGAATTATTATTTTGCATTGAAATGCCTTCTCAAATAACTGGTTTTGAAATATTTGAACTAATAAATAAATATATTGATAGTAAATCTCTGAATTGGAAACATTGTGTTGGTCTCTGTACCGATGAGGCAGCAAGCATAACTGGCAGGTGTTCTGGCTTAAGGGCAAAAATTCAAGAAGTTGCCGTGAATACAGTGGAATTTACACATTGTTTTATTCACCGTGAACATTTAGTAGCAGAAAAGTTGTCTCCATGCTTACATAAAATTCTTTTTCAGTCAGCACAAATTTTAAGTTTTATAAAGAGCAATGCACTGAATTCACGTATGTTGACAATTTTGTGTGAAGAGATGGGGTCTGAGCATGTGAATTTACCACTTCATGCAGAAGTACGTTGGATATCAAGAGGGAGAATTTTAAAAAGATTATTTGAGTTACGGCATGAAATCGAGATATTTTTAAATCAAAAGCATTCAGATTTGGCCAAGTATTTTCATGATGAGGAATGGGTTGCAAAGCTGGCCTATTTATCAGATATATTTTCACTTGTAAATGAATTAAATTTAAGTCTCCAAGGAACTTTGACTACTTTCTTCAATTTGTATAATAAAATTGATGTATTTAAGAAAAAGTTAAAAATGTGGTTGAAGCGCACACAAGAGAATGATTATGACATGTTCCCTTCATTTTCTGAATTCTCAAACTCATCAGACTTAAATATGAGAAGCATCACAAGCATTATTTTTGAGCACCTGGAACGACTTTCTCAAATGTTTGATGACTGTTTTCCACCAGAACAAGACTTGCGTTCAGGAAATCTGTGGATAATCAATCCTTTTGTGAATCACCAAAATAATAATCTCACTGACTTCGAAGAAGAAAGACTAACACAGTTATCTTCAGATTTAGGATTACAATCAGTATTTAAATCGATGTCTGTAACTCAGTTTTGGATAAACACGAAGTCAAGTTACCCGGAACTCCATGAAAAGGCAATGAAATTTTTATTACCTTTTTCAACTGTTTATTTATGTGATGCTGCTTTTTCAGCTTTGACTGAGTCAAAACAAAGAAATCTGCTGGTTTCTGGGCCTGCTCTAAGACTTGCAGTCACGTCTTTAATTCCAAGGATAGAAAAATTAGTAAAGGAGAAAGAATAGCCACATGCATATTTCTTATCAGCAAAGACAATAATTTTGTGTTAAGTTTTGTATAAGTATCCTAAAATATAATTTCCTAATATGGGTTTGTGTGTTCAGTAATTAAATAATGTTTTTATAACATTTTCCTTTTTGTTGAGATTTAATGATTAATGCATTTGTAAATACTTATATATAATTTTAATAATCCAAGGTAGAGAATTTAGTTATTTTATTGATTTATACATTTAGATTAGTAACAAAGATTGCAGGTAATGAAAGGCCCAGTTTATAATGTAATAGCACAACCTGGATGTTGAAACAGCTTGGCCTTTGTAATAAGCACATGGAACGTTTCATTCTTCAGCCAGTGAGACACCAGCGAGGTTATGAGTAGGAGAAAAAGAAGGATCTAAGCAAAGGTTAACTAGAAACGGAGGCAGCAGGGGAGTTTGAGTCCCCTGCTCAGGGCCTCTTAGGCCCACTAGACCAGGGCTTAGCAAACTGTTTTTGCAAAGGGCCAGATAATCATTTAGGTTTTGCGGGCTATACTTTCGCAACTACTCAACAATTCAGCTGCAGCGCAGCAGCAGCCGTAGTGCACAAATGAGTGGCTGTTTCAGTACAACTTTTTATTTGTGAACACTGAAAAATGAATTTCATATAATTTCATGTGTTGTACAAGCTTCATTAAAATTTTTTATCCTTTAAAAATGTAAACAAATATTATCTTAGAGGAAAGGGGAGAGTGGAAAAAAATCAGACAGCTGGCCAAAGTTGGGCCCATAGTTTGCCCATCCCAGCTCTGGATAGACTTCCAGCTAAGTGCAGATGGGCTAGGAGTGGCCTGTAGGACTTTGCTCGTGACAGCCTCTCTTCCCATAATTTTCAAACACCTTTCACATTTCAGTTTCAGCTGAGAGAAATTAGAAGGAAAAGATATTCCAGGCAAAGATAGAGCATCTTATTTAATAATTACTAGTTGGTTTATTACTAATGACTTTATACATTAATTTACTACTTTACAAATAACTTTCTGAGCTCTTGCATGTGCAGGCATTGTACTAGACCTGATACAAATTTCAGAGAACTGTCATCCCCATATATGGATACTGAGGCCCAGCGGGTTTGGGTGACACCTAAGTGTGGCACCGGCAGGAACGAAGCCGGGTGTCTCTTGATCATAACTGAGCCACGTCCGGATACCCACCGATGTTTTGACTCCACTTCGTATTGACTGCGAAACAGAGACCCTTCCTGAAGTCAAAAGGACAGGTGTAGTCAGTTAAGAGCCAGTGGTCCTCAGTGTCCCCACCTGTGAGATGGGCATGCCCTGTCCAACGCTCTCGCCTCGCGCAGCTGGCGCAGGGCCCGCGGGGTTGGCGACCCCCTGGAAGGTAGGGGAGGCGTGGCTCTGGCTCGAGTCTTCCGGCTGCCGGGGGGAGGAGGAAATGAACGGGAAGCGGGGGCGGGTTTTCGGCGGGCCCAGCCCTCGGGCGGGGGATCCCCGGCGTCCCGCGGGCTGGCGCGGCCATGGCGCTCCTGCTCGCCGCTCTGCGCGTCCTCCTGGGCGGCTTCTTCGCGCTCACTGGGGTGGCCAAGCTCTCGGCGCAGATCTCGGCCCCGGTGTCGGAGCAGATGGTGAGCGGCG